ACTCGCGAACGGTATGTCGTATGACCACCAAATTTTCGGAGGATGGTGTACTAATGAAAATTTATCATATCTACAATTTTTATGTCGTTATGACGCAATATCACGTCATTATGACGTCATTAATGTGATTTTATTGCCCAAAACCGTCTAGATAGGTTTTCCCAGAAAACTAAATGGTATTCAACATAACTGTACCAAAAGTGTTTATGACAGAATATTAGGGTGTACTAAGTCTTATGTTGCCCATAGCAACACCGGTGACGTCATAAAATGACGTCATGCATATTTAAGATATCCGCCATCTTGGATCATCAATCTTGAATTTTCAAAAATAGTTTTTTTTCATGATAAAGCCTAAAATACATTGTAAACATACTAAAGACCTTCATTTAAACCTTTTTTGGAAAAAGAAATGGAAGTATTGATGAAATTTTAATGAAAATAACCTGTATATACCTGTTCTAATGATATGGTCCGCCATCTTGGATTTTGGCCAATGACGTAATCAAATTAGCATAAATTATGCATATTTAATGATGAAATTTACATAAAATTATATAGGATGTTATTAATATTAGAAACCATGAGTAACTTGACATAAAACCCATAAAAATCTATTGTTGGAACAAAAAGTACTAAATTTAGCAAAAAAATGCCTGTCAGAAACCCGTTGCCATGGCAACACAAAAAATTATTATCTTATTCCAATGACAGAGAATTTTTGCCAAGAAGCGAGAAACAGAGGAGTAGCTTGTTAAGCTAGACCATGTGAAGGTAAAATTTATATGTGCGTTTGCTTTGCAAATGTTCTAGTTTTATGTGTTTTCCAGGATAGGCAAACCTTTCACCGATTTGACAAGTTCAACTCCAAGTACAACCCAGCTGGGTGCGGCATTCTCCGGGACATTTTCATCAAGACAGACAACTTTATCCACGGCCGTTACTTCGCCGAGATAGTAAAGGTGATTATTGTGATCTCCGTAAAACTACAGTTCCTAAGCGTTAAAATGAAAATTCAGCACGTATTCAAATCAGAAAAACAGACCGTATAGCATACTTGGGTAGTTAGTAGGTTACAATCGGTCTGTCAATAGGTATAAATCAAATATAATAGGTGTTGAAGAGATTCATTTGTCACGTATAATTACAGTTACTGGAGAATTCTTTCATCAGTGACAAGTTTTTGAAGGGTGAGAGTACTAACCTCCAAATTTTCGATGGCTATCAGTCCATCTTGTTCACGGAGTGGCCTA